CACTGTTCTACGGTTAGTGGTGTGGCATTGTATGTAGTCTTTCTCCTGGTGCGAAGGTAACCTACCTGATCATTATCTTTAGTGTGTTGTGATGTTACATTTTTGGATGGCAGGGGTGCCTGAGGCTTTTGGAAAATCAGAGTTCAGTTCCAGGAAACAAAAGGACAGGAGCTGGCAGTCTGCTCCATTGGGCTGGAATTCAGACCTTGAGTTGGAGCCTCAGGCTAAGGGAAAGGACATCATAGGATGGTATGGGAGAGGCCACAGCCAATGAGTCTGTGGTGATTGTATCATGACTACAAGCTCTGGAAGTGGTGGTGCCACAGGCCTCAGTAGAACCACGTTTTCATATTTCCACCTGTTGTCTGGGTGTAGGAACCTACAAGGTCTTAAAATCTTCATTTTATCTTCAGGCGCTAATTAACCGTGGCGTTAACCTGGATCCCCTGGGCAAGTGGTCAAAGACTGGACTGGTGGTATATGATTCTTCGGTGCCCATTGGTAAGTGTTCCCTGCCTGGAAGCCCTTCTGTCCCTGCCCTCGTCCCAGCATGTCACAGATGGGTGTCCTTCCACAGGTGCTACCCCCGAGTACCTGGCTGGGCACTATATGCTTCAAGGAGCCTCGAGTATGTTGCCAGTCATGGCCTTGGCACCCCAGGAACACGAGCGGATCCTGGACATGTGTTGTGCTCCTGGAGGAAAGACTAGCTACATAGGTATGAGAAGGGAAGGTGGGGTAGGAGCCATTTGGCTTTCTGCTTTTGGAGTAGATGGGGTTGCTAACTTATTAGTGTGCAAGAAAACCATACACAAGCAACTAGCAGAGTAGTGAGGAGTCTAGGCTCTGGAGCCAGCCTGGTCCAGCCCCATGTGTGCCACTAACTACCCATATGACCTCAGGCGAGCCCCTGGTCTTCTCTCGTTATCTGTAAAATGGGGTGGTAAGTGTCCTTGGCTTAGGGGTTATATTATGCTTGGGTTGTTAGGATTAAGATACACCGTTAGAAGTCCTTGGTCAAGTGTTCAGCACATAAGTAGTCATAACCATTTCATTTAGCTGTTAGCACCAAAAAGATGTTCGGTAACAGCGAAAAAAACCACACCAGCAGTCTTGTTCATCTCAGAGTGCAGATTGGGTAGACCCGTACAGTAGACTGTGGGGAGGAGGCTTATTGGGAGTGAAGTTGCCTTGAAGCAGTGAGACTTCACTTACGGGTTCTTCGGCAGGAGGGTGGCCAGCGGGTGTGGAGGCAGAGGAGCTGGCTGGTGAGCACTGTGCCCTCTCTCCCCTCAGCCCAGCTGATGAAGAACACAGGTCTGATTCTTGCCAATGATGCCAATGCTGAGCGGCTCAAGAGCGTCGTGGGTAATCTGCACCGGTTGGGAGTCACTAACACCATCATCAGCCACTACGATGGGCGTCAGTTCCCCAAGGTGGGGTTCCCCTATGTGTGTCTCTCTTGAGGTCTTCCAGTTCACCTGTCCCCTTCCTGACCTCACGGTATTTAGACTTGCTCCTAGGAAATAATGGTGCGGTACAGGTTGCCAAAACATCTAACTAACCTACCCCTTCTCCCCAGGTGGTGGGGGGCTTTGACCGAGTACTTTTGGATGCACCCTGCAGTGGCACCGGGGTCATCTCCAAAGACCCAGCTGTGAAGACTAACAAGGTGAGGAGTTGGGGGGTGGGGCTAAGCGTGGGAGTGGGGGCCAGCTGAGAGGGCTTGGCTGGGCCTTGCAGAGGTAGAGGGGCACCTTGAGCAGTTAGTAGCTCGCCTCTTCTGAGGCTGCCTTTTGAAGTTTTGACACCCTCGTATCGGTCTCTCCTTGGGACAGGATGAGAAGGACATCCTGCGTTGTGCTCACCTTCAGAAGGAGTTGCTCCTGAGTGCTATTGACTCTGTCAATGCCACCTCCAAGACAGGTGGCTACCTTGTCTACTGCACTTGTTCCATCATGGTGAGGCCTTTGTTGTGGCAGAGCAAGAGGGGACAGGGCTAGGGGTCTCTTTGCCCCTTAGAGCCCTCTTCAACTCCAGCTCTGCTTTTCCGTCCATTTTTGTCTCCCCCACATATCCAGGTGGAAGAGAATGAGTGGGTGGTAGACTATGCCCTGAAAAAGAGGAATGTGCGGTTGGTGCCCACAGGTCTAGACTTTGGCCAGGAAGGTTTTACTCGCTTTCGAGAAAGGCGCTTCCACCCCACTCTGCGTTCTACCCGCCGCTTCTATCCTCACACCCACAATATGGATGGTTTCTTTATTGCCAAGTTCAAGAAATTCTCTAATTCTATCCCTCAATCCCAAACAGGTAAGCAGTCTGCTCTTTCTCCCCTTCATCACCCACCACCTTTGCTCTCTCTGCCTTGAAAGAGGCGTGTGACGCAGGGAAGGGAGGTACTTCTGCCTCCCTTACATCAGCCTTTGCGTGCTTGGATGAGAAGCCTCTTTCATTTCAATTAGAATTGTTCCGGAGCCTGGACCCCATTTGAGTGTATGTTAAAGCACACGTACAGATGGGGACTTTTCCCTTGATTCTGCCAAGTCGCTGCAGTCTTTCGGCACTAGATGCACTCCCAATGCAGTTGTGGTTTCTTTTCCTTCTTGGCCAAGGGGTGCCTTCCTGGTAATAGACCTCTGCTGGTCCAGCACTGTCAGCACCGGGTTGGCACAAGTCTCCTCAGAACTATCAGCAGTTCTCTGAGTCCATCACGTTAATTGCAGCTCTTTTTCTCAGTCATCTTGAGTCTGGCCTGGATCTCAGAGAGAAGGGTGGGGTTACTAGAACAGGCTTTATGGTGCTGCATGCTGGGATATAACCCAGGTTTAGTTAGAAGAGGGAGAGGCAGGTTTCTTGGACTACAAATTGTGACTTATTGAGTTGATTTTTTTATTTACTTATTTAAGTAACTTCTTAAGTTCAAGCCCAGCATGGGGCTTGAACTCATTACCCTGAGATCAAGAATCATGTGCTCTACTGACTGAGCCAGCCAGGTGCCCTGATTTTTTTTTTTTTTCTTTATAAATAATGTCCCTCACAAAAGTCACATCTGAATGTTAACAGAAACCTTAAGAACTAGAACTAGAGAAATTTGCTGTAACTTTTTTTTTCACTGTAACTTGAAAAGTACCTATTTAATGTCATTTCTCACTTATGTCTTACTGGCTTGTTTCTGGTTGCTATGTGTGACTTATTTTCTTGTATCTCATCAAAATCCACATGAAAAAAAAATGGTCTTTGATTTAAAAAGCCCAGTGCTTCAGGTATATTCAGGATTTCCCTCCTCCTCAGAGTGCCTTGTTACCTCCTGCCCTCAAGGGGACAGAGCTTCGTTTGAAACCTTTTTGCCTATGGGTGGGGAATGATCCCTTTCTCGTAATTTCTTTTTTGATCCTTTTTTCCTTAATACGAGGTTCAAATATGACTTGAGTAAAGGCCAGGTGATGTTAAGTAATACGAATTTAGGTAGTGTGCTCTTAGGCACTATCCCAGCTGTGTGGAACACTTGGCCAACAGTACCCAGGCAGTTTTCTTATCTTAATACCATTTACCTGCTCCACTAATGATGAGGATCCAGTGATGAGGCCCATTTTCTCAAACCATATGCTTAATTTTAAACCAGGAAACTCTGCAGCTTCCACCCCTACAAACCTAGACTTGCCTGAGGTGAAAGATCAGATGACCCCCAAGCCTAAGGGCAGCAGCCATCCTGCCAAGAAAGCCAGAGTGGCTGTGAAAGCAAAGCAGCAGTTGCAGAAACGGCAACATCCCAAGAAGGCCTCCTTCCAGAAACAGAATGGCATCTCCAAAGGGACAGACTCAAGTTCGCCTACTGTATCTTGTGACACAAAGTCCCAAGCTTCTTCTAAGCTCCAAGATAGCAGCCAGCCAGCTCAAAAAGCTGAAGTGATCGGGGGACCAAAGGTGCCTAGGAAACTAAAGCAACAGTCAGCTATGCCACAGGCCTCCAAGAAAGTTGCCTTCCGAAAGCAGAATGCTTCCAGGGGCACGGACACGGAAGTGCCAGTGCTATCCCTCTCCAAGACCCAGGCCACTCTCAAGCCTGAGGACTGTGATCAGCCCCTTGGAAACAGCAAAAGGGCTGAGAAGGTAAAGCAGCAATTGCCAGAACAGCCTTTCAAGAAAGCTGCCTTCCGGAAGCAGAATGGCACCCCCAAGGGGCCTGAGACTTCCACTGTGTCCCTTCTCAGTTCCAGCCGGCCCCCACCAGCGAAGAGGAGAAAATCTCAGTCCAGAGGCAGCAGCCATCTGTCGTCTTAGACGAATGGTTGAAAGTAGGCAGGGGTGGTTCATTACTGTTAATCACTGGTTTGGAACTATGGCCTCTGTGAGGTTGGTGTCCCCACTGTGCATATGAAATTGAATACGCATTTTATACTCTCTGGCCACTGTGTGTTTTTTGAGGGGACTGGGTCCTGGCTTTGCTGCTTAAGGGTAGGGCTGGGAAGGTGGGACAGGGACCCTCTGAAGAGAGGAAACTGGTATACTGAGAAATCAGTTTCAGGCTCCTGGGTTTCCGTGGTCTCAGGGAGGAAGAGTCATGGAGTCAGAGCTTAGGGTAGTTGGACTCCGGGGAGAGGAGGGCAATAGGGATGTAGGGAGGATGGACATCCTGCCACCAGAACCCAAGGAGTACTGAAGGGCCTGGATTTTATGTCTTTCTGCCACCCTGGCTGGATTGCAGGCGTGGACTGGGGTCCGTTCAGCCTCAGACCCGGAAAGGTCCGGGTGCCAGCCTCCAAGTGAGCCTTTCATTGGCTTCTTCCCTGTCCTTCCCCGCCCCCCTGACCTCTGCCCCTCCCGCCGAGCTGTCTGATTGGTTGTTCCGCGTCCGCTTGGCGCCTCATTGGCTCTTCTCCCTTGCCCTCCATCCCTGCTCCTGTAGCGGTCTCGGTCTCCCAGCAGAAGACGCAGCCATGAATCCGTTATTCGGCCCCAACCTCTTCCTCCTACAACAGGAGCAGCAGGGGCTGGCCGGACCGCTAGGGGAACCCCTGGGAGGCGACCACTTGGCCGGGGGAGGGGACGTGTCCCCGGCGCCGCTCGCCCCGGCCGGCCCGGCTGCCTACTCGCCGCCCGGGCCGGGCCCGGCGCCCCCCGCCGCCATGGCACTCCGCAACGACCTGGGCTCCAACATCAACGTGCTCAAGACCCTGAACCTCCGGTTCCGCTGCTTTCTGGCCAAGGTGCACGAGCTGGAGCGCCGCAACCGGCTGCTGGAGAAGCAGCTGCAGCAGGCGCTGGAGGAGGGTAAGCAGGGCCGGCGGGGCCTGGCTCGCCGCGACCAGGCCGTGCAGACCGGCTTCGTCAGCCCCATCCGGCCCCTGGGGCTGCCCCTCGGCGCCCGGCCGGCCGCCGTCTGCACCCAGTCGGCGCGGGTGCTGGGCTCGCCCGCGCGCTCGCCAGCCGGCCCCCTCGTGCCCTCCGCTGCCAGCCACTCGTCGCCCTCCACCTCCACCTCCACCTCCTACTCCTCGTCAGCCCGCTTCATGCCCGGCACCATCTGGTCCTTCTCTCACGCCCGCCGGCTCGGGCCGGGACTGGAGCCCACTCTGGTGCAAGGGCCTGGCCTGTCGTGGGTGCACCCCGACGGGGTGGGCGTCCAGATCGACACCATCACCCCCGAGATCCGTGCGCTCTACAACGTCCTGGCTAAAGTGAAGCGCGAGCGGGACGAGTACAAGCGGAGGTAGGGGACCGGGCAGGTGGGGACCGGGCTCAGTGTCATGCCACACACGGGGCCTGGACTAGGTGTGGGTCCAGGAGAGGAGAGCGTTGCGGCCCAAGAATCAGGGAGGAATAAAATGAGAGTAAAGTTCCTGCTGTGTAAGGAGGAGCTTGGAAGTATTTACACGGCATTGGATACAGGAAGACGGGAATCCACAGGGAATGCAGAAGTCGCACTCGTGACAGGAAGAAGGAGACTCGGAGCGGAGTGCTGTGGGGAATACATATTTTTCTTGTGGCTTTTCTTTCTGTCTCATCTAGACCGCAGTGTTTGGCTGCCCCTGTTCTGTGGGGTTGTATGAGATGTGAAAGGGTCTCACATTTGAGAGGTCACATCTGGGGTAATACCAGTCTCAGCCCCCAGGGCACTTTTGTGATAGAAGCTCCAAGTACTGATCAAAAGGATAATCGCTTTCATTTGGGAGTCTACTGAAATTAGGAGGGGGTGGTGAGGGAGGGGCTGCATCTCACAGTGGGCGATCCTACCCCTGCTCTGGGTTTCCCAAAGCAGTGTCGGTGGAAACAGGGTACCTACCTACTCAGTTCCATATGAAAGGCTCTGGGGCCTCAGAACATTGTGTGGAGTAAATAAAGGAAAGAAAAAAGAAAAGAAAAGAAAAAAAGGGGAAAAGGAGTTCCCTAGGGAAAGGGGGAAGGGACTGGTAGTTGTCCTAGGGCCATGGAGGCTGGGGGAATCTGTAAAAGCACAAAGAGCCAAAGGATGACGAAATGTGAGTAGAGCCAGCAGAGGAAGTGAGTGGGGAAAAGTTGAGAATATGGACACACCCTGCGAGTACAAGGCATCTGGAGGGCAGGCCCAGTGCTCCCTGAGGATGAGGATTTGGCTTTCTGCGGGGGACTGGCAGTGTAGCACAAGGGGCCAGGAGAAGGGATGTGATGCTAGCGCTGGCTGTACAAGTGGATCCCTCAGAGGGTTGATAACCAGGCCATTAGTAAGGAGCACGAGCACAACCAGCTCTTTGTAGACTTTGAGGGATGCCATGGTGGAGGAGGAGGATGACAGGTCAGAAGGAGGCTTTAGTTTGGGCGCCATCAGGTTTAACCTCTTAATCAGCTACTCTGACCCCTTGTGGACAGGCCTGGGAACTACCTTTGCAGTCCTGTGTTGCAGCTTGGTGTGGGCTGGGGCTTGGCTGAATGCTATGGGAAATTACCCCTGAGTCTGGGGGCAACCTTCAGGGGTCTGTAACCTGCTAGAGTCTAGCAGATCGCAGATCAGCAGGCTTTCTGAGGTTGAGTCCTGTCCTCATGCTGGCTTCCTTCGTTGTAGTCCATGTTATAAGTACCTTTGGGACTCTCAGACCTCCTAAAGCCATCACGAAGATGCCACCCAAAACCAGCCTGCCTCTGCCCCCGCCCCTGCCCCTGCACGAGTTAATTAACACTGTCAGCAGCAGAATGGGGGCAGTTCTGGAATGCATCCATAACCACAGAAACAACTGCTGTTCTCCGGTATTTTTTTTTTTTTTTTTTTTCTTAACTGAAAGAGTGTTTGTCCTTGGTCCAGCTGTCCAGGGCAGCAGAGAGTTATTCCTTGGGGACTGATGAGCTCATCGCTCTGCAGCATGCTGCTGTGCAGAGGGCCCCGCAGCTAGAGTTGTATGGTACGTGACACTGGCAGTTACTCATTCTTCCACCCCAGATCCTGTGCCCTCGTTCTGTTCTCTTTAAAGCAACACTGTAGCTCCTGTCAGTAGCCCGGAAGTCATGGGTATAGCTTGAGCACTAAACTGGGAAGGAGCTGAAGCCTCCTGGGTTCTATTTTCAGCACCCCTGCTGTGTGCAGCCTTGGGTGGATCTCTCTTTCCTGGCCTCACTCAGTTTTTCTAGTGTAGGAATGGCCCCGGCTTCCTCACTTTGCTCCAGGATATAATTTATTTGGGAGAGAGGTCTTTAGTAAACACAGAATACACGGAAATTGTTCAAATTCTACTCATGTCTAGGGGACCTTGTAAGTGAGATGAGATTTGAATGGAGGTCGGAAGGAACCTATTTGTGGGAAAGTCTGGATGGAGAGCAAATAGGATTCTAGTAAGCATCCAGGGGGACCATGTGACTCTTGATCTCGGGGTCCTGAGTTTGAGCCCCATGTTGGGTGTAGAGATTATACTAAAAAAAATTAATAAATTTTAAAGAATTCTAGTAACTTCTAGATGACTTATTTTCAGATTTTTTGTGTGTGTTCTAAGACTGTGTTCATCTCAATCCTTCCCTAATTTCCTTACTTAAATTTCTACCTGAATTTGTCGCTTGCTACCCTTTCCCATGCATCTTGTCCAGGGCCATCGTCACCTTGTGAGTCTTGCTTTCTTTCTCCAGGGACTCACAGGCTCAGGAGTATGAGGGTACTGCATTCCATGCCTTCAGGTTGTAGATGGAGAAACCACAGGCCTCAAAAAGATAAAGTCTTATCTATGAAACTGTATAACTTGATGCTGCGAGGGCCCCTCACTGGCCCCGACTGTCTGAGAATGCCAGTGCAAAAGTGGGAAGGACATGGGGGCAGCAGAGAAGGGTGGACAGAGAGCCAAGAGGGCCTGGGGCTGGGCTGTGTGATGGGCCAGCAGGGTGGTGGCCAGGCTGGCCGCCTCTTCCCTGCCCATGCGGGAGGGGCAGCGGGTGATGTAGAGGAGTTATTATTAGGAACACTGCAGTGCAGATGGGGGGGAGGAACAGGGAAGAGGCTGCAGGCGAACCCGGGGAGGAGAGGAGGAAGGAGAGTTGGGGGGGAGGATGGAGGTGGGGAAGGGAGGATTGAGTCCCATGTCTGCAGAACTCACTCGCTTGGGCTTTCATTTTTCTTGCCGTCCTCTTTGAGACTTAAGCCATGTTTCTGATACTGCGGTTTCTCTCGTGGTATCATCCCCTCCTTTCTCACACTGGAAGAAGCAGCAGGCACTGAGAGTCTGTGTGAACGGGGTCTGAGAAGTTCTGCCATCCTGGCCACCCTCGCAGGGTCCCAAAACCCTAAGCAGGGCCATGGCCGCCTCCACTGCCCTTTCACCTTGGCGATGCCAGGGCCTGTGCGCCGGCTCACCGTGGACTCACATTGAGTGAAAAACCTAGCCCCGGGCAGCCAACCCTGCCTGCGGCCAAGGGTGTCTTTTAGCCACTTGGGGTTCTAGTCTCGGAATTCTAGAGCCTAGGACATGCTGCTTTTGGTTCCCAGCCACTGTAGAGCAAGGCTCTTTTTCATACTCTGATCTCCCTGTCCCTCCAGGTTTGGGTGCCTGGGAACTCCAGGCTCCTGCTTCCCACAAGTTTCTTGCTTCAGGGCCAGCCCGGTCTCCTCTCTACGGCTCGCTTCCACGGGTCCTGGGTGGGTGGTTTCTGGAGCTTGTGGGGGATGGACTTTGAGCATCTCCTACCAGGCTCTTGACCAACTCTGTTGATGTGGTGTGTGTCCTGCAGCTGCTTCTCCAGGGTTAAATGGCACCACAAGAGGCAGGGCAGCGGGCTAGAGGAGCCCTGGTCTGGTGCAGGCAGGAGGCGGGAGACCGGATCTGTGCCACTGAAGGTGGGGGACCGGGCTGGTGGGCCTGGTGGTCTGGTGCGGGCAGGACAGGGGAGGAGGCCAGCCAGGCAGCTGGTGGGGCTGGGGCCTGAGGGGATGGGCGCCATGAGGGAGCACAGTGGCAGCAGTTGCTCTTAAATACAGTTCCTGGGGCGCGGCCCAGAGGTTCCGGGAAGGCAGCTGGCCGACTCGCACTTGCCAGGAAGTGTGAAGCCACCGGACAGCTGCGGCTGGCCACCCGCTGGCCGGCCAGACATGGCTGCCCACAGCCCCGGTGCATCTAGGGCACCAGACCTAGAGTCAGGGAGAGGCCTGAGCCAGAGGGGTGGGGAGCAGGGAGCTGCCGGGGCGGGGTGGGACTCTGCACCCACGTTCCCTCCCTGCCCCCCCCCCCCCCGCCCCGTCTGCCCCGCGGGCCCCCGCCGCCCTTCCTTGTCTTCATCTGCCTCCTACCTCGGCAGCGCCGCTAGCCGCTAACGGTGGGGCTTTCTCCCTGACTGCAGGAAGCCCAAGAGGCTGACGCCTGCCAGGAGGAGCTAGCGATGAAGGTGGAGCAGTTGAAAGCGGAGCTAGTGGTCTTCAAGGGGCTCATGAGCAATGTGAGTGCAGCCGCCGCACCCCGAAACCGGCCAGAGCAGGCGGGCCCCTCGAGTTTGGGCCGGTTGACTTCCTGGTCACTGCCGCTGCCTGGTGTGCCGTGCCTCTCCCTCTGCCTGCCCCCCACCCCACCCTCATTCAAGAGGGAGAGAAGGAACGGAAGTCCCAGTGTCGTGTCTGAGAGGCAGAGTGGCCTCCCTCATTTCTAGAGGTGGTTAAGCAGTTAGTTAAGAGGCCAGATCCCGGCTCTGCAAGCTGCTAGCAGTGTGGCCCTGGTGAGTCCCCCCACCGCTCTGCCTGTGTCCTCTGTGGAATGGGCGAGGCAAGGCGCGTGCCCGTGAAGACATACTCTACTTAGCACCATGCTGGCACAGACGTAATGCTGAAGTGTCAGCCGTTCTTCTTGTAATACTTTCTCCACTCTTGTAACTGCCACTGGCCTCTCTCTCTGGCAGCGTAAGTTCTGGGAGGGAGCCCCTGCACGTCCCGGGCCACCGTGTCCAGTTCGCCCGTGCGAACAGCGCGCCAGCTGCATGAGCAGCCCACGAGTGCCGGGGGAGGGTGTCCAGGAGGACGGGTCAGCGGTGATATGTGACTGGAAGAGTGAGGGTCTTGCCAGGGCCCTTACTGGTCCTTGTCTGGAGTGCTGGCTGCCTCCTCACTGCTCCCTGCGTTCCCCGGACAGAACCTGTCTGAGCTGGACACAAAGATCCAGGAAAAGGCCATGAAGGTAGATATGGACATCTGTCGCCGCATCGACATCACCGCCAAACTATGCGACGTGGCTCAGCAGCGCAACTGTGAGGACATGATCAAGATGTTCCAGGTGAGGGCACTGGGCTGCCCGCAGGCCCCGGGACGAGGGCAGGCCTTGGCCCCAGACACCCTGCCCACACCTCCCCGGTGCCTGAGCTCCTCAGGAGAGGGTGGGGGCAGGCCGTGAACCTTGCATCATTGCTGGCTGGGAGCCGGGCCCTGCCCTCCTTCTTGGAGGACCTTACCTCGGCCCCCTGGGGCCCTTGGTGGGACGAGTCTTGGGGGGCAAGGAACAGCCTCTGAAAGAGAAGGTTTGGAAGCGTCTCTAACACCATCTCTCCCCTCCCTCTCTCTCTCCTCTGTCCACCTCCTCTCCTCTCTTTCTTTCATCTTTTCTTGCTTTCTCCACAGAAGAAGCTGGTTAGTTTTGCTCTCATGCAAGCTTTTTAATGTCCCAGTCCCAGTTTCTAAACCACCCAGGCCTTGGCCGTCAGTTTTGACCCGCTGGGCTTTTCAGCACAGATTTCTTTTCCTGTCTCTGTTTTCCTTGCCCTTCCCCCCTTTACTCTACCTCGTGCCCTCTTTGCTTCATTTCTATCCCTTCTGCGGCTTTCCAGATCTGGATATATGATTCAGGTTCTCCTTTGTCTACACCGCGTCCTCCTCTTCCTTGCAGCCAAAAACTTTCCTTTTAGTTTGGTCATTTCATTAGAAAGACTTTTTTTTTTTTTTTTTTTTTTTTAAGAAAACAAATTCTCTGTAGCCATTATGCACATCATAGCGTGGTCACAACAGGCCATTTCTCCCCTGATCTTACCGCCCTATTTTCTGTTTCTTCTTTTTCTTCCTTCTCAGTCTGCAGCCCTGTCCCCATCTGTGTCTGTCTGCCTGTCTCTCGGTAACTCTGGTGTCTGTTCCTGTCGTTGTAACTGTGTCTTCTCTCTCTGTCCACCCCGCCCTCCCGCTGGTTCACGCTTCTCCCCTCCCACCCGCCCCACCCCTGCCGGCGCCCACCCGCCCTTCTCCTCATGCACCCGGCCTCGTCTCTGTAGTCTCTGCACTTGTCTCCCATTAAGGTCCCATCCATGGGGGGGCGGAAGCGGGAGCGCAAGGCTGCCATCGAGGAGGACACCTCCCTGTCGGAGAGTGATGGGCCCCGCCAGCCCGATGGGGATGAGGAGGAGAGCACAGCCCTCAGCATCAACGAGGAGATGCAGCGCATGCTCAACCAGCTGTGAGTCCCGAGTCCTCCAGGCCCACCCTCAGCAGCCCCCCCAGAGGCCGGAGCTCCCCGACAGTGGCCCTCCGCCCGCAGGAAGGCCCCACCCCCCTCTTGACAGCGGGTTCCCTGTCTCTAGGAGGGAGTATGATTTTGAGGACGACTGTGACAGCCTGACTTGGGAGGAGACTGAGGAGACCCTGCTGCTTTGGGAGGATTTCTCAGGCTATGCCATGGCAGCCGCAGAGGCGCAGGGAGAGGTAACGGCCCCTCCCGGCCTCAGGGCCCCGCCAGTCCTGCCCCCCAGCTGGACGCCCCGTCCCCCCCTCCCCTCCCTGCACTCCTTGCTGCTTTCCCTCTGTGGCCTCCATCCTGTACCTGCCTCTCCCGTCTTCCTTCTTCCTTCTCTCGGCTTTCAGCAGCTTCCTTTAACCGGATTCTCTCTCTCTCCCCTGGCTCGCCCCTGTGGAATGCCCCCACCACCCTCCCCATTGGCCTCTCCCTTGCTTCCCTTTCCGCTTCAGCAGCAGGAAGACAGTTTGGAGAAGGTGATCAAAGATACCGAGTCCCTGTTCAAAACCCGGGAAAAAGAATATCAGGAAACCATTGACCAAATAGAGGTAAGACTGGCGTTGAAGCCGAGGCCCACGGGTGGCCCGTGGGTTGTGAGCGGGGCGGCGGGACCCCAGACACCAGGCCTTCCCCGTTTCTTTTGTGGGGGTGGAACCTTAAGAAAGACCTCAGGTTCTCCAGGGAGGAGGACGGATGTGGGCTCCGATCTCAGCCCTGTCACCTACTTTCTACCACTCCAACTTCTAACAGGCTGCTTATGGTCTCTCAGCCTGTTTTAGTTGTCACGCGGGACCTTTTTTTTTTTTTTTTTTTTAAGCTTAGTTATTTTGACAGAGAGACAGAGTGAGTGGGGAGGGGCAGAGAGAGAGAGGGAGATACAGAATCCCAACCAGGCTCCTCACTGCTAGCACAGAGCCCAGTTCGGGGCTTGAACTCACAAACCGTGAGATCATGACCCAAACGGAAATCAAGAGTCAGATCCTTAACTGACTGAACCACCCAGGTGCCCCTCAAGCGGGATCTTGATCGTACCTTCCTCACAGGGTTGTTTGAAGATCAAATGAAATGATGCACACGTAGAGCTGAGGGCAGTGTCTGTCTCCTAGTAAGCATACTGCATGGCGGCTTTATTAGTATTATCACTCCTGGTGGTGTGATAGTGGAGTCCTCTAAGAAGTGAACTTGAACTTGGGTGATTCTTCAGTTCAGCCTTTCAGCTGATGGAGGAACCTCCATTGTCATTCCCTAGCCTGGAAGATCCTTCTCGAGATGGCAAGGGAAGCGGGTGCTCTAACTTAGATGCTAGGTCTGCAGGGCTGTGGCGGTTTGTGGCACCCTGGGTGGCGGGGCTGAGGGGAGGGGGCTGGCTGCGGATCCTGGGTGCCCTCCTGCTCATGGAGAGGACCCTTCCCTGGCCCTGAGCGCTCCGGCTTGGGGAAGACGCATGTGGGCCTCTGTAACTCTGGGCCTCTCTTCAAGCCCACGTAGCACATTTATACCCTTGCTTGTCTCACGCCGCCCGCATTTTGAGATGGAAGTTGACAGATGATTCTCCTACATGCTCATCCTCCCAACACACATCAAGTGGTCCTGCTCCTTTAAGCCAGCCTGTTTTTGTTGCTTGCCCAGGCAGACAGATGCTAAGTTTTAAAGGCGCAGCTAGGTTTCTGTTCTCTGTTGAGTAGAGGGGAAGGGAGAGGCGCTCTCTGCTCGCTCCTTGACACCCATGTCCCAGTCTTCCTCTTTTCTCGCAGCTGATTGGTGTTAGGAGAGGTGTTGGGAGAGCTGACAGGGGGCTTTGGGTGCAGTGCTGACCCTGGTGACCCATCCTGGGGTCACTGGCATAGATGCAAGGAGCATTTCCCATTGTTGGTGGTAAAGCCAAGGCCCAGGTGGAGGTTGGGAGGGAGTTCATCCTTCCTCTCCATCTAGTCCCAGCCCTACCCTGTCTCTGGCCACACAGTGAGTCTGCAGTTTTCAGTGGAGGCTGTTAGATGTCTCCCAACTGTGGTGCTGCCTCTCCTCACCCCTGCTTTAAAATTAAAAAAAAAAAAAAAATTTCTTTAATGTTTATTCATTTTTGAGAAACAGCGCGTGAGCAGGGGAAGGCAGAGACAGAGGGAGACACAGGGTCCAAAGCAGGCTCCAGGCTCTAAACTGTCAGCACAGAGCCCGACACAGGGCTAGGACTCATGAACTGTGAGATCATGACCTGAGAGGAAGTCAGACGCCCAACCGACTGAGCCATCCAGGCGCCCCTCCTCACCCCTGCTTTAAATGCATGAAGTAAGGGCATATGTACAGATATGTACAGACAGCTGGTGGTCCTAGCCTTGTCTTTGGATAGAATATAATTGCTTCATTTCTTTCTTTCCTGTCCTGGTGAGTGCTGGGCTCCGGAAGCTAGCCCCTTCCCCTGCTGCTCTCCTTAGCTGGAGAAATTGGGGTGTAGGTGGCAGCCAATCTGGGCAAGAGCTGGTGACATCATGCCTTCCTGCACTGAGCACGCCCTGCTGCTCTGGAACCAGGGCCGCCATCCGAGCTGTACTCACTAGGCTTCTGACCCACCCAGGCCACCATCTCTTCTCTCCGGCCCTGTGACCCATTTACTTCTTCCTCCCAGTTCCCATCCTCTCCCTGTCCAGTTTGGATTAGTTCTGGGTGGTTTCTTCAATTCAGATTATTCACGGGTAGTTTCCTACCCTTTCTCTTTGCTCTCAGGCAGTCAAGCAGGTTACTTCCAAGCCATTTTATTCTGCCTCTCTGTTTGGCCCCTGTCCTTTGTACCCCAAACAAAGAGAGGCAGCAGATTGTCTCTGGCCCAGATCTTTTCCACATCACCCCTCCTCTCAGCTCTACCTCAAAGCCTGTGGCAGAATCTGGCTCAGAGGGAGTTCGTATTTCCTTGATTCTGAGCCCACCTTTTCCCACATGTAACATTTCTTGAACCGGGATACATCTTATACGCAGTAGGACATTGGGTGTGGCAGAAGTCTTTCTGTTGGATTCTGAGAACTGCCCACTCAGGAGATGAGAGTGATAAGAGGAGGATTGAGCCTCTTTCAACAGTGTGGGGCAGGTCCCCTCCTTTGTGCCATGAGGCTTATGGCTACTTCAAAAAGGCTCACTAAGTAATTTCCCATCTTGGGGCTGGGCACATGCAGAGATGAGTAAGATCTGGGGCTGGGAGCGGGGGCGCCTGGGTGGTTCAGTTGGTTGAGCTTCTGACTTCAACTCAGGTTGTGATCTCGAGGTTTGTGAGTTCAAGCCCCTCATGGGGCTCACTGCTGTCAGCACGGAACCCACTTCAGATCCTCTGTCCCCCTTTCTCCCTGCCCCCTCCCCCGCTTGTGCTCTCTCTCTCTGAAAAATAAACATTAAAAAAAAAAAAAAAAATGGAGGCGCCTGGGTGGCTCAGTTGGTTGAGCTTCTGATTTCGGCTCAGGTCATGATCTTGTGGTTTGTGGGTTCGAGCCCCGTGTCGGGCTCTGTGCTGACAGCTCAGAGCCTGGAGCCTGCTTCAGATTCCGTGTCTCCTTCTCTCTTGCCCTTCCCCCACTTGTGCTCTGTCTCTCTCTATGAAAAATAAAATTAAAAAATTTTAAAAAGGCCTGTGACCACCTTCCAGGAGCACCCAAATTAGTGAGGGAGACAGACTGGGTACAGCATTGTATTGGGCCTGCAGGAAGCCCAGGGAGGGAGCAAGGCCGTGCACAGATAGCCACCCTGGGCTCTCTGTCCTGCCCACACTTAGGTTCCTTTTGTCAGTAAAGGTCTGTTGCAAGAATGCAGGCCTGTAGCAGAGACCTCTGCCTTCCTCTGTAGGCAAAGATCCCCAGGAAAACTAAAAGGAATGATGGTATATTGGTGACTTCTGGCTTGATCGGACTTTTTTATTTAAAAAAAAATGTTTATTTTTGAGAGAGAGAGAGAGAGAGACACGGAGCAGGGGAAGGGCAGAAAGAGGGAGGCAGAGGGTATGAAGCAGGCTCCTTGCTGTGAGCACAGAGCCCAGTGCTGGGCTTGAGCTCACGAACCGTGAGATCATGACCTGAGCCAAAGTCAAGAGTCAGCCACTTCGCTGACTGAGCCACCCAGGCACTAGCATCTGACTTATTTTGAAATCTGAGCCTTCACCCGTGGCCACCTGGGCCCCATGCCTGGTGCTCTTGGTGTGTTAGCCCCTGGGGGTTAGGGGCAGGGGCACTGCTGACCTGGATGGTCTCGTCCTGCGCCTGCCACAGCTGGAGCTGGCCACGGCCAAGAATGACATGAACCGGCACTTGCACGAGTACATGGAGATGTGCAGCATGAAGCGGGGCTTGGACGTGCAGATGGAGACCTGCCGTCGGCTAATCACCCAGTCTGGAGACCGGTGAGGACCTCCCCCTGGAGCGTGGGGTGCGGCCCGCCTTCTGTGTCCTCCTCCAAGGCTGCATGCACCAGAGGCCGTTGGTGGGCAAGCCCTAAGAACCCCGTAGCTAAAAACCGGCAAGGAACAGAAGGGGCATGAGGGCAGTTTGTTTTCGAAAGCCAGGCCCAGTTCGTGCATCTCTCTGTGAGTTAAACCCCAACAAAAAAGTAAGTTCTAAAAAGTCACAAAAATACTACAGAGAGACACAAAGCTGGGGCCATCAAGTCTGCACTCGGGCTCAGACAACATCTCTCATACTGCGATTTGAGATATTTCTGAACTCTGAGCCTCCCAGAGTCCCCAGGATAAAGACAGGGACCATATCCCCCATCAGGGTGGGGCGGGAGGGATTTCCCTCTCCCTTCCCCACTGCCCTCACCCTGCATCCACCCTCACCCCTGTGGCCCTCCTGCCCTTGCCTGAGATGGCATTCACTGGCCTGCCAGAGAGTAAGGCCACGGGAGAGGAATGCCAGTGTCATCAGGATTCCTCCCTGCCCCAAGGTGACAACTGGTGTTTTTTTCTAGAAAGTCTCCTGCTTTCACTGCGGTCCCGCTTAGCGACCCGCCGCCGCCGCCGCCAAGCGAGACTGAGGACTCCGATCGCGATGTCTCATCTGATAGCTCCATGAGATAGGGACCTACCTCCAGCCTGGTGGACTGGGGCCCCACCCTGCCGGGAACTCACAGAGGCAGAGGGGTGGGGGGTTCACAGAAGGGGAACGCCATCCGTCCCGCCGCACCAAGCCTCGCCCCTGGGGACTGGGGCGCTCCTCCCTCGGGCTTCCTGCCTTAGTCCTTGGCCTTCAGGGTTCTGAGGTGTCTGGAGCGAGGCTCAGCCTGCCCTTCCCAGGTGACTCCCACCACAGCTGGGGCTCTCCTGCCTTCACGCGTGGGCGTCTGCTACTTCTCATCTTTAAAATGCTGCCAGAGCGATCGTGGCCCCTTACTTTCTCCATTGAGTAAGGAATGTGATTGTCAGATCTTCCATCTCTTGAGGCCTCGAGCCAGCTTACTGTCTTTGATTCTGTACTGGTGCTAACTGGCCCAGGCACTGGTATGAAGTGGATTAGGCTGGTCCTTCCAGGGCTTGTGCAACACACATGCAGTGGGAGAGGGCTTCCCTCCAAGGTGCAGGTGGAGGGGAGGCGGGACCGGGCAGGGCGCTCTGTCCCCCCTTGCGTTGTCATCCACCCGTGGATGGCAGTGATGGGGCTGTGACCCGTCCTTTATGGAAGTGCCATGCATTGAAGGGGCCTCCGGTCTAGGCGGCTTCTGGATCCGACTGGGTGCAGTACCGTGGAGGGAGATGGAAGTTTCCCAATGCTGAGTGGCAGAGAAAAAGGTGAAGCTACTTGTATGTGTGTGTGCGTGTGTGTGTGTGTGTGTGTGTGTGTACATGTGTGCTCAGGGTCTCAGTTTCTTCAAGTATCAGCTGAAGATGTGCCTCCTCCGTGCCTGTCATACACTGAGAGCAGCAGGCTGAGATGTCCTGGACTTGGAAAAGCTTGGGAGAAACTGGGGAGCCGTGAATGCGGACACGTCAGCATAACTGCCTGAGGGAAGCTGTGCTGAGCGGACATTTGAATGGAGTCTTTAATAATAATGAAACTGGCGAGTATTTATTGAACACTTCTGTGTCACTGTTTCAAGCACTTTCTGGTAGTAGCTACACCATCCCCTCTGTGAGGCACACACCGGTTTTCCTCCCTCGACATACAAGCAAGTGTAAAGGAAGGCACCTGGAGGTGGTAGGTAACTTGCCCAAGTTGAACAAGTGGCAGAGGCCCTGGACCACAGTTTGTGCATTTAACCCTCTGTAAGTTATACCTCAACAAAAAAGTTTTAAAAAGTCACAAAAAATACTAGAGAGACACAAGCTGGGGCCAAGTCTGGTTCTGGGCCCAGAACCAGGGCCTCTGCCCACGTGGCTGGTGCCAGCCTGTGTCTCTGCCCACGGAGTCCTCACCCACAGATGACGGGAGTAATCCTCTTAAACCGCGGTGGGCATTACCCCTTTTCCTGATCATTTGCTGCACAGTGCTGTGCACTTATGTAGCCGACTGAACATAATCCTTCTGGAAAACCTTTAGGGGCTGGGTGTAGCGGATCACTTTGCAGATGAGTAACTAGGGCACACAAAAGTAAATAATTTACTCAAGACCTCACACCTGTGAGGCAGGGTGGAATTTGCACCCTGGTGGTTCGACTGTATTCCACGTCGCTAGCGCTCTGCTTCTGAGTGACCAGGTAACCAGTCAAGGCCGCGAGGACTTGGTAGCCCAATTCCTAAGCCCTGACTCCCTGTGCCAGTGTTCCTCCTCCAGAGGGCGGCAGACAGAACAGCTTTCAGAGGGAGGAAGCCAGGTGACCCAGTGACAAAACAGCCTTGTCCTCTGAAGTGGACATGCCCCATCACATAGCACCTAAAAGCCTTGGAGGGAAACTAAAGCCAAAGCGAAGACAGACTGGTCTTCAAATTAGTGAGTGCCCATGCACATGTGCTTTTGTAAGGCCTTTCACTTGGGCCCAGGACCTACAGTGGGGTTTCAGGTCTGGTTGGGGTATGCTGGGCCCTTCTTGGGTACTCGCAGCAAGGTCTATTTCTCTTTGGCACCAGCCTACCTCCCCTCCCGTTTGTCCCAGACCCTGGAAAAAGCTAAAAAACAAAACAAAAAACCCACAAGAGTTGGTTGGATACAGTATACTTTATTGATGGTACATGATAAGGTAGGGCTCCCCAAGCCCCTCCCCTTCTTCAGGGGGTCTGGGATGGAAACTGGAGATCAGGAGATTCTCAAGTGTGTTGGGTGACGAACGGGGGCAAGGACTCCCCAGCAGCTGAGGGCCTCTCTCTTCTTCCTCTTGCTGGGGCTGGTGGTCCAGGGGGCTCTTACTCCTTGGAGGCCATGTGGACCATAAGGTCCACCACCCGGTTGCTGTAGCCAAATTCATTGTCATACCTGAAAGAGGATCAAGAGTTCAGGCCTATTTTCATGAACCGGCCACCAGAGGGCGCCACACCCCCAACCACACCCCAGCAGCATACCAGGAAATGAGCTTGACAAAGTGGTCATTGAGCGCAATGCCAGCCCCAGCGTCGAAGGTGGAAGAGTGGGTGTCACTGTTAAAGTCGCAGGAGACAACCTGGTCCTCAGTGTAACCCAGGATGCCCTTGAGGGGGCCCTCTGATGCCTGCTTCACCACCTTCTTGATGTCATCGTATTTGGCCTAAAAAGGTAAAAACGAGATGGTTATTCAAGTTCCAATCTTGCTGTTTTTTATCCAACACACAAACCCTGAGCCCATGAATCCTTTTCCAACTCCTACTTACAGCTTTCTCCAGGCGGCAGGTCAGATCCACGACGGACACATTGGGGGTGGGGACACGGAAGGCCATGCCAGTGAGCTTCCTGCAGACAGCAGGCAAAGCAGGGTCAGTACTGCTCCTCCTGGTTCCACAGACCCCCAGGGCAGAGAACAGCAAGGAACCTCACCCATTCAGCTCAGGGATGACCTTGCCCACAGCCTTGGCAGCGCCAGTAGAAGCAGGGATGATGTTCTGGGCAGCCCCTCGGCCATCACGCCACAGCTTCCCAGAGGGGCCATCCACGGTCTTCTGGGTGGCGGTGATGGCATGGACTGTGGTCTGCAAACATGGAGGAGGGAGTGAAGGCCCGCACAGCACCCCTAAAGTCATCTACCCCTTGACCCCCTCCTCCCCCGGGAAAACTTGAGACAGTGACCTGAGCCAGTCCCTCGGAACCCCCAATGCCCCATGGTCCCCACAGCCCAGGGCCACATTCGAAGGGAAGAGGATCTAGCCCTGGGTGAGAAATAAACACACTGGGCACTTTCCCCATCACCCGTACCATGAGTCCCTCCACGATGCCGAAGTGGTCATGGATGACCTTGGCCAGAGGGGCCAGGCAGTTGGTGGTGCAGGAGGCATTGCTGAAAAGAGGGAGGCAGGTCAAGGCAAGAACACGTCCACCTGGCAACACACAGTACCATCTGACCACCTCCCCACTCCCCTCTGCTGTGCTCACCTGACAATCTTGAGAGAGTTGTCATACTTCTCGTGGTTCACGCCCATCACAAACATGGGGGCATCAGCAGAAGGGGCAGATATGATGACCCTCTTGGCCCCACCCTTCAAGTGAGCCTGTGGTAGAGTAATCATCATAATCCACACTCTCCCTCTCCTCAAGGGTTCCCCATCATTCCCGCTATACCAAACCCCACCCTCCATCTTTACTCTCCCTGCCACTCACCCCAGCCTTCTCCATGGTGGTGAAGACCCCAGTAGACTCCACAACATACTCAGCACCAGCATCACCCCATTTGATGTTGGCGGGATCTCGCCTATAAAGGGAGACAAGTCGAAAGCTCAGGGACATGGGGTACCGTGTACCACCCAAGGTTGTGAGCCCATCCTAGTAACTCCCTCAAAGCAAATTCCACCCTGTTCCGTCTTCTACACTTACTCCTGGAAGATGGTGATGGGCTTTCCATTGATGACAAGTTTCCCGTTCTCAGCCTTGACTGTGCCGTGGAATTTGCCGTGGGTGGAATCATACTGGAACATGTAGACCTGGAGGGACAAGTGAGGGCCATCAAGCGGCTGCGCTTCAGCCAGGCTCTGCTCCCTACGCCGGCTGTGGGGGCAGCACTCACCATGTAGTTGAGGTCAATGAAGGGGTCATTGATGGCGACAATGTCCACTTTGCCAGAGTGAAAAGCAGCCCTGGTGACCAGGCGCCCAATACGGCCAAATCTGGTAAAGACAAGAGGCGAGAAGGAATGAAAAAGGGGTAGAGAATTCTCCCAGGCATGGAAACAGCCCTAGATCAACCCATCCTCTTCCAGAGGTTAGAAGATGGCACTTCCCTCCAGAAAAGTCCAAGAGGTCTAATTTTATCTTTCTTGAGCAACCCTGCCAGGACAGCCTGGCCAGAAAGTGAAGCCTGCCCAAGAAGTGATTAGGTTCAGAGACTGGCCCAACTCCCTAGTCATTACAAGTCCTGCAAAGGAGCAATGGCCATGCAGGGCTCTGCTCTGGCCACCCCCGCAGTCTGGACACATGCCTGGCACATGGCATTTATCTCCCCCACTATCTGTGCCCTCCCTGGGAATGCTTGTTCCCTGTCTGGCCCAGCATCAGGATACACCCTCCAGGGAGGAAAGAGTTGCATACTTAGCATCACCAAGTTCAAAGGGCAAGAGTAAAGGTCAGAAGTTAACTGGAAGGGGAAAGCCCATCTCTTCCTCCAAAGGGGAAAAAGGAATGCTTCTCAACCCCCTGATCTGAGGGCTCTAGTTTGCTAAGCCACTTGTCCCTGCAAGCCCTCTTCCAAAAATCAGGAGTGGGAGCGACAGATGTGTGTGTGGGGTGGGTGGGGGCAAAAAGAGTAGTAGCCCAGGCCCCAAGCTGCAGAAAGGTCAGGCAGCTATATTTAACCCCAGATTAGAGTGAAGAGGGGATCTGATTTCTGGAAGATGGAACGGGGAGAAGGGCAGGATTCCCAAGGCTCACAGACACCTAATCCTCCCAGTGACCTTTATAGCCTGGCCTTTAGGGTTGGGTCAGCTCTAGGTATGGACGGAAGACAGGAGCCTCCAGGAGAGCCAGTGTGATGAAAGGGGCTGCTGCTACAGAAGCCATTTTGTAGTGGAAAATTTCTGCCCATGACTCAGCTCCCCCAACATGGCACTAAGCTGCAGCTACCACACCTCTCCGGAAAAGGGGGGAGGAAAAAAAAGGACTCAAGAGGACTCCCCTAAACCCATGTTTGATTCATCAGAGAATCGTCTAGAAGAAGCATCCCTGAGGGGAAATTTGATTGGCAGCTTAAGGGATGGTCTCCGGTCAGAGTTCTGAAGTCCAGCTCTTTTAAGAGCAAGACCGAGGGAAGCCTTGCCTCACCTGGTTTACGGGATAAAGGCGACTCCACCCCACCCAGGCAGGATCATGAGGGTTAGTCATAGGCGAGGAAGGAGGAACAGTGAAGAGCTAAGGAAGGTTGCCTAACGGTGGTTCATTCACTTCCTTCCCTGTTGCAACATGGCGGCCGGGTTCCCGCAAACGGGCCCTCCCAGAGGGCTCTGCACCCAGCTCAGCCCCGGGCACCCCGGTAGGTGGGGAGGCCGCAGGCCGGTGGGGGAGGGGCTCCTTCCCGGCACGTGACTCCGCAGGGCGCGAAAGCAAAGAAAGAAGCCCCAGCTGGGGATTAAAGGGATGGGTCCTATGCCGGGAGGGGGGCGCTCTCGTCTATCGGAGGCAGGTGGGGCGGAGGGCTGCGGGCGGCTCGCGCCCGCGGGGGCGGCATTGCACGAGGAGCCACAGCTTGGGGGAGAGTGGCCCACGCGGCTCTTTAAGGCGGGAGCCTCGGCCAGGTCAGAGCGCCGACCTTGAGTTCTCCTTGGGGGTGGGGGTGGGGGGGTAGGACCACCGCACCCACGTCCCTCACGCGCTTGCGAAGACTAAGCAGGGCAATGCCCGCAGTAGCGTTTCGCCCGGGGCCGCGGGACTCGATGCCCCACCCTACCCCACCCCCTAACTCACCCGTTGACTCCGACCTTCACCATCGTGTCTCGGGGACGCGGCTGCGGACAGAGAAAAGCGACCATTAGAGCGCGGGGGCGGGTGGCGGCTGCAGCCCGGCCGCTGCCCTCCCCTCCCCCCAGGCCTCCATTCCCAACCCGCGCTCGGGCACGTCCGTATTCCCGCCCCTGCAATGCGGGGGCCCGGCCGCGCGGCCCACCCCCTGCCCGCGAGCGCTCCCGGCCCCCTTCCGAGCCGTGCCCGAGCCTCCCGTGGCTCCCCTCAGCCTAGCTTTGCCTGGCTTTGCCTGGCTCTACCTGGCACTGCACCAGAAGATGCGGCTGTCTGTCGAACGGGGAGGAGCAGAGAGCACCGACGGAGCCTGCAGTCTCAATTTATAGCGGCGGGGCGTGGCGGGGAAAAGAGGGGGTGCGGGCCCCGCCTCCCGCTGGCTTGCCCAGTCACGGCCCAAGGGCGCAGAGGCCTGAGCTACGTGCGCCCGTAAAGCCGTGAGTAGCAGGGCCCGATTTTTTTTTTTTTTTTTTTTTTTTTTTTTTGTCAAGTGTGCACGCACCTAGCATGTGGGCTAGGAACAGAGTGGGGGGGAGGGGACCGAGACGGGCCCAGTGGAGCCAGGGATCGCTGATGGCACCTAGGGCAGCCCTGTGGGCATGCAGCAAGCTGTGGACTCCAGGTGACAACGGAAGACCTCCGGGAGCCAGGACCGCTGCACATATGAAACGGAGGACTTTGGGAGCTTGTGGGATGGGGAGTTGGGGCCAGAAACGGGTTGCTCGCGCCCTACGCTGCCAACCCCCCCCCCCCCCCCCCCCCGCCCCGTCCCCTTTCTTTCAGAGGCTGAGAGGCGGGAAGGCTGGGGAACTTATTCTCAAGGCTCTTCGGTAGTAGCGGGGGAACCGCAGAGGAAAAAGGCCCGGGAGGGGTCAGCCAGTCTCAGGCCGGGCCCTGCCCAGCCCCCACTTCCCCCTCCCCAGGCCCTGGCTCCCGGCCTCTCTGGGCCGGGGGCCTGGGCTGGCACTGGGCAGTGGGGGCCTGGAGAGGAAGGAGGCTTGGCGGGCGGCTTGAGGGGGAGGTTTCTGCACTGAAGGTCACGCTGTCCTGCAGCTCGGGCAGCCCAGAGAGGTAATAATTGGGGCGGACAAACCAGGCCCTGTGTGCACCAGCTGCTCTCCCCCAGGCCGGGCTAGGCCTCCCACAAAGTCGCTCCCGGGAGACCAGAGTGCTGTGCCGCCAGGGCTGGGACACAGTGCCCCCTTCATCTCCTCCAGCCCGGGCCGCTATCTGGACGTGAGGGCGGAAGTCCCTCCCAGTCCTGGGACGTGCCGGTCGGCCCCAGAGCCAGGGACTCCTCTTCCCTGCCTGCGCCCAGGGGATGTTGGGGGCAGAGTGAGGAGTCCAGAAGAGAGAAAAAATTGGGAGGCTTTGGGCACATGGTGGGAACAGGCCCCCAGACCCACACGAGGTGGAGGAAGGGATCCACGCCACTCCAACAGTCTGGAGCCCAGGCTGCGCCAGTTTTGCGAGCTGAGGATGGAAGAAGGGCTACATTTGAACGCTTGAGAGGACAGAGGGTTTGGAAGGGGGTGGGGTGGAATGGACATGGCCCATCAGCAGGTGCTGGGGGCCGGGGATCTAGGGGCCTCTTTGCTGGCCCAGCGTAACCTGAGACCAGCCCCCTTTTCTAGCTGAAGAGCCTGTGGCTAAGTTTAGCCTGCCTGGTGATAACCTTTGCTTAAAAGGCAGAGGGCACGCTCTCCCGCACCCCGACTCCAACCCTGGTTCCTGCCCTTTCTGGGACTGCCCTCCCTCCTTGGGGCCCCAGAGCCAAGTCTGTATCTGTCTGGCGGCCTCGTGCATGGTTGGTTTCCAGGCTTTTCATGAACCCCAAGAGTAGGGCCAGAGGGCACCTAATGGTGACAGGAGGTGGCAAGTGCCACTGGCGGTCTGCTGGGGCCTGGCACTGGGACCCAGCTGTCCCTGTTCCATTCCTGCTCATGCTCAACCAGGACCATTAACCCTTTCCCTGGAAAGGGCCTCAGGGGCCCCTCCGAGCCCCAGCACTACCCAAAGTGCGTGTGTCATCTTTCATTAGTGTCTTCTGCCAGAGGGAGCTCAGTGCCCACGGGAGCATTACTGATGCAGCCTGCTGTTGTCATGACAGCAAAGACACCAGTGTTGTCATGAGAACACGCTCACTGCCTCTGGTCCAGGTGACTCAGCAGAGCAGACTTGGGGAGCTGAGGGGTGGGCAGGCTGAAGCAGTGCCTGCGCTGAGAGCCGACTTGCCACAGACCCTGCAACAGTTAAGGAATCTCTAGGTAGACAGACCGACTCCACAGATATTATCTAGAGCTGGAGGGGATCAGGACCTGACCTTCCATCTGCTCAGCCGGCTAGGTCAGTCACTGCCTCAGAGATGGGCTCAGGGAGCACGCCGGGGGAGGGGAGGACGCAGATCAGCCCTTGGTCTAGAGAAGGGTTTCTCCATCTCGGCACCACTGATTGGCATTTTGGGCCAAATAATTCTGTTTTGGGGGTCTGTTTTCTGCATTGTAGGATATTTAGCAACATCCCTGGCCTCTGCCCACTAGATGCTGATAGCATCCCTCCCACCTAGGTTGTGATGACAAAAAACTATCTCTAGGCATGGCCAGAAGGCCCCCGAGTAGGGCCACACTGGTCTGGAGACTGGCCGCTGCACGCTTCTCCACCGTGCAGCAATCCTGTCCCTCATGCGGTGTGGGGAGGTGTCCTGTCCTTCGTGCGGCATGGGGAGGTGGAGGAGGGGAAGATGAGGCACTGGGGGAGCATGGAGCTTATCAGATCTTCAGACAGGCCCCAGGACTTCAGGGCTCCTCTCCCTGCTGCCTGCATCTGGGCTCATGTAATCTGAAACAGACAAGCTTAGGAAAAATGTCTAAAAGTATATAAAAAACATTTATTCATTAGGAAACAAGGAGACTGGCAGACATAGAGTCCAATGAAAGCAGCTCAATTCAGTTCAGTAAGGCCAGTTTAAGAGAAATGCTTTACATCATAAAGACCATTCTATATTAAAAAGACAAGAGGACAGGCAAAACGGTATTTTACAAGGGAGCGGAATTCAAGTTCACTTCATAAGATACCCCGCACAGCAGGGACAGGAACAGGCAAGATGACTTCCTAGGGCCTGTGCCTTCGAGGAGGTGCTCGGCGGATGGGGGTTGTTTTCTTGGGTGTCTCGTCTTCCGTCATCTCTGCTGACAGCTCTATTCAGAGGATTGGAGGAGGAAGAAAAAACTGAGTCACAAAGATGGTGAAAAGTACATCTCAGAGAACAAGTGGGACAGCCCCAGACTAGGCCCAGAAACAAAACCCATACTGTGCCCAGAGAAACACACCTGGGGGGAGGGCGGGGGCGGAGAGAATCTACATGGGCAGGACCCCATCAAAACCAGCTTCCCCCCACCCCTCCCCAAGCTATGCTCCTTGCGAGCCACATCTGGGAGGGAGCATCCTACCTTCCTCGCTGGACTCATCACTCGAGAAGACAATTCTGGGTTTCTTTTTCGAAACTCGCTGTTGGGTGTTTGGATGCCGACGGGCAGTGCGGTGGGGCTCAGGAGTGACAAAGTCACCGTCTGATGAGGCTGCAGAAGCCAGACGCTGGTGCCGCTTGGAGACTAGAAAAGGCCAACACATAAGTCCCAAAAAAAGGATACTCTGAGAGAAGGGCCCGATCTCTCCACTTGTGGGGCTGCCTCACGTACCAGTGGATGGTTTCTTGGCTGATGGGGCTCTCTGGCTACCCCCCTGGCCAACCTCAAGGTCTTCCACCGCATCCAGCCCTCTGGTGTGGCAGACCCGAAGCTTCTGCTCAAATTCATCTATTACAGCCTGGAGGGGGGGAAGAGATTAAGAGCAGGCCTGGAAGGGGCACCTGGGTGGCTTGGTCAGTTAATCGTCAGACTTTGGCTCAGGTCGTAATCTCAAGGCTCTTGAGTTTGAGCCCCGCAATGGGTTCTATGCTGACAGCTCAGAGCCTGGAACCTGCTTCGGATTCTGTGTCTTGGTCTCTCTCTGCCCCTCCCCCACCGATGCTCTGTACCTCTCTCAAAAATGACCATTAAAAAAAAAAAGAGCAGGCCTGGAAACTTATTTCTAAGATGAAAAAGAAACAAGGCCATGGAAAGAAAGACATGGTGAAAACATCAACGCATATCACTGAGAGAACCCAACCCAGGGAGGGTACACACTGCAGGACTACAAGTATATGACATTCTGGGAAAGACAAAACTGTGACAACAGTAAAAAGATCATTGGTTGCCAAGGGTCGGGGGACAGAGGGCGATGGGGGAGCACAGAAGACTTCTTGGGCAGTGGAACTGCACTGTGTAATACTATAATGATGGACATAGGCCACAACACACTTTGTCCAAACCCACAGAATGAGTGAGTGACCCCTAAGGTCAACTATGGACTTTGGGTGATAATGATGTGTCAACATAGGTTCATCGATTGTAACAAATGTGCCACTCTGGTGGGGGAGACTGGGGGGGGGCTTTGCATGGGTGGCGGCTGGGCACACGTGGAAGAACTCTACCTTCAACTCAGTATTTACTTTTGAACCTAAAACTGCTGTAAAAGATAAAGTCCATTTTAAAAAAGAGAAAAAGACACAGGAATTGGAGTCAGAAAGATCTGGTCTCAGGTGGTGCTGGTTACTTCGCTGCAGTCGAGCCGAGGGAGGGGAACGGGCGGGGTAGGCGAGGCAGGTCCGGGCAGTGCAATGCAGATGAACTCATGGCACCGGGATGGCCGCTACGCTCACCTTGCCCTCGGGCTTGGTTCCGCGTCGCAGTTTGCCCACAACTGACAAAAAAGCACTAAAGATGGACTCATCCGACAGTTTGTCCCCAAAGCAGTCAAAATTGTCCAGCATCCTGCGGAGGCCTCGCTCTGTGAGGGGCAGCTGTGACACACAGTAGGCCAGGTCCCGATACTGCCGCTCGGTCCTGCAGATGGCAAAGGCGTCGTGAGGAGAAGCGAGATGGAGGAGCGAAGGCCCGTCCTTCCCCGTCGGTGTCCCACAGCCTCAGGGACACCCCTTGGGAAGCCGGCATACCGGGCAGTGCGGAAGCGCTGACACAACTTCTCCACCAGGCTCTCCGTCTGCTTGTCCTTGGTGATGTAGGAGAGGAGCTGCCTGAGGAAGGGGCGATGTGGTTGTGTGGCCTCCCAGGGGCAGCTCCGTCCCTGTCGGGACAGTCCTGTCTTCCCCTAGCACCCGCCTTCTGACATCGTCCTGCCTTCTTCCTAGACCCTCAGAAAAAATCCACCCCACCCCCTCTGCGAAATTCTCACTGAGAATGGGAATTTGTAACAAAAACTGCTGCCATGTCGTGAGGACTCCTATGCGCCTACCGCCGCACTAGAAACTCTATGGTACTGAAGCCCCTCAAGAACTAAGGGGCAAGTGTCAGAGGCCTCACTGTACAGAGGAGGAACAGGCACAGAGAGGCTAACTTACTACTGAAGGTTATACAGCTACAAAGTAGCAGAGCTAGAGTTCAAATACAGGTTTGTCTGATTCTTAAGCATGTGCTACATGAAAACTGTGCCCCAAGGCTCAGGGAACCATACTTCATGATGGTGTGGAAAGGCTCTTCCTCCACCCCTCCCTCAGGGTCTGACAGGCGGCTGATGATATCTGGAAGGAGATTATAGATCGCATTGCCCTGTGAGAGAGAGAGTCATGTTATCGACACTGGGTGTGTGTCTGTGTGTGCGCGCCCGTGTTCCCTCGACAGTGGTCTCCCGCTGCCTCTCACCTTGTGGGAAAGCTCATTGAAGAAGTTCTTGGCCAGGGCAGCGATCTGAGGCGCGGGGTCGATGAGCAGCACAGCCATCTCGCTCACTTGCCCCTTCACCTTTACCATGTCCTTTAGAATCAGGTGGGTCATCACCAGCCCTGCTGTTCTCCGCACTTGCTGAGCTGGGTCCCGGAGCCTAGGAGTGAAATCTCAAGTCACTGGCACTAATGGTGAGTTATATTGGGACACTGGTGGGAAAGGCCCTCAGCAGGAATCTGTTGCTCCTTCTTCTTCTTCTTCTTTTTTTTTTTTAAAGTAAACTCTACCCTCAGCGTGGGGCCCTAACTCATGAACCCAAGATTAAGAGTTGCATGCTCTTTTGACTAAGCCACCCAGGTGCTCCTCTATCACCCCTTCTCAATGTGACATTCTAGAAGCAGTTAGAAAGCTGGGATTGGGGTAAGAGGCCAAGCTTGGAGCCAACGCTTTGGACAGAGGTGCCCATTCCTTTGGGGCTATACTTAGCGAGGGCCTGTACAGGTCAAGTATCAAGCAGATATCAAGGTAATGCTAAAGACCAGAGAAACAGTTTTAGTGATTTTCATCCTGACTGAACTATAGCCTTCCAGGGCTAGCAAGGCCTGCTACAGTGTCATGAGGGATCTCTCACCGAGCATACAGATGAGGTGTCCAGGGGTCCACCAGGTTAGGGAAGCGGATGGCCAGATCCCCAGCAGCAACCATGAGGTTAGACCGGACAATGGGGAGCGAGGACTTTTCCAGCATGGTGAACAGCAGGCGAAGCTGGGAGTCGCAGAAAGTGGCACTAGGGGCAAGGAAAGGATCATCAGGGAGAGGCACCATCCCCATCCTCTCTGAGAGGGCAGTACTGGCCCCAGGGCCTACCTGATCATGCAGAACTTGCCAAGGGCAAGTGAAGCGGCTGCAGAGAGCTCTGGGTTGCTGTAGAGGCCCGGGTTGTTGCAGACTTTAAGCAGAAGTGGAACAAAGGCAGCCAGGATCTGTTTGCCTGTCGGAAGAACGGCTCTAGGTCTGGGACAGGTTATCTCGGCTGGGGAGCAGGTCCCTCAGCAATTCTTCTTACCATCTAACAGCTCCTTCTCACAGATGCTGCGGATGAGTTCTGCCTCTGGATCATCAGCGGCAGCGCCCGCCAGCCCCATCTCCTCCTCTATGGTGGTGTCAGAGCTTGTGTTCTAATGGGGAAGAAACCAGGGATCATGGCTCATCCAAGACAGCATTTTTTAAAAATTTTTAATATTTTATTTTTAAGAGAGACAGCATGAGCAGGGGAGGGGCAGAAAGCAAGGGAGACACAGAATCTGAAGCAGGCTCCAGGCTCTGAGCTGTCAGCACACAGCCTGATTCAGGGCTCGTACCCATGAACTGTGAGATCATGACCTAAGCTGACATAGGATGCTTAACTGACTGAGCCACCCAGATGCCCCCAAGACAGCATTTTTAACTCCAGCCTGTCTTTCATTTTGCAGGAATGTGTCTGGGGAAAGGCAAGTTCTGTAAAACCATTCCTACAGTGGTCAAATGTGTCTATAAAGAGGAAGCACACCTTAATTAAACAGGAATAGAACTAGGATTCTGTAATTTTACTTCTAAGTTGCCAAATGTGAACTGGCAAATTCAAAGTGGAACAAGCAGCATTATTTTCAAGTTGCTAAAGCATATTCCTACATCTCTGAACTCATCCTCACAGAAGCATGTCATTTCCTGCATACAATCAATAAACGGATCATGGGGACAATGGTTCAAGGTCACAGAGGTCAGACCTAATTCCACTGCTGCAAGATACTCTGTGTCTTATTTGTCTGCAAGACACCACTGCCTCTAGTGGAAAGAACACAAGGTCCCCATAAGGTGGCAGGCCCAGCAACCACGGCTGATGGGAAAGGGGGTGCGTGTGTGCTTATTCTAACAAGCAGTGCCTGAGGGGGAGCCTAGATTTCATGCTGAGGTCCCTAACTCAACGCTCTGTTTCCCTAAAACTTTCCTTCCTGGGTGGTCAACAACAGATCGCTCCATCTTTGTTCTCACTAACCTTTCCCAGTAACAGCAGCAAGGAGGCAGGGTGTCTTCCTCATTTAACAGTAGAAAAGCAGAGGTTCCCAGAAGGAAACGTGAGTGACCCACAGTCAGGAAATAAATCCGGGAAATGCTTGGGACACAAACCCAAACACGCAGGCACTTCATTCACCTTCTCCTTTGGATCCTTAGTCTTCTGCTCCTGCTCTTCCCGAAGAACCCGGCGCCGACAGAGCTCCCCGCTCACTGCCTGTTCCAAGTGCACCAGCTGCTGCAGAGCCACATCTCCAGCCAGGGACAGCAGGTTCATCAACAGGAAAGTGGGGAGCATGGGGGTGTCCTCTGGAGGAGGGGAGGCAAAGCAGGGAGAAAGAGACAAAATTAAATCTCACAGGACCCTGCATTCTGTGTTGATGGCTCTACCTCTTGCTCATGTGCCATATACAAGCTGGCGCAGAAGAGAGAGATGGAGACGGTGGAGGGTGGGCGGGGAGGGACGGGGATGGTGGCGGTGAATGGCCCAGTCTGAGTGACAGAAGTGAGACAGTGTGGTCTGCGGAGGGTCAGGGGCTGCTGTAGGAAGCAGTGCTGGCAGTGGTTACTGACTCGACAAGGAAAGCAGTAGACTCTGGCTGCTGCCCACGGGGGACCCTCTTGCCTACTTACTTGGGACCTCCTGGGTGGCGCTCTTCTCCCCCAGCTTCTCCAGGGCCTGCTTCGCACAGCCCTGCAATATCTGGGCACAGATCACCTCAGGGCCCTCTGCCAGCTGGTAAATGAGGGTCACTGCCACCTCTTTGAATGGGATCCAGAGTGGGTCTGGGTGGACAAAGCCTGTAGAGGAGAAGGGAGAAGTCACCCACTGCAGACAAAGGACTCCATTCTACCCGAGGCCTTCACGATAGCTCACCTTTTGTGACCACCTCTTGCAGTCGCTCAAACAACCTATGTTGCTGAGGCAGCCGGAAGGGAGGGTGACGTTTGCTCAGAGAAGGCTGTCGAGAACAGGAAAGACAAAAGATGGGTATGTGTGGAGAGTGTATAAGAGGATGGCCACTCTCCTTGGTCTGGAGACCCCATGTACCTTTCTCCTGTCAGAGATGTTAGCAATGGCATGGCACACCTGCTGGGCCAACCTGTAGTCCTGTGGAAACTTCTCATCCAGTCCTATGCTCACCAGTGTGTCTAAGTTGCTTCCCACGATTTCTGGTTTTCCTCTAGAGGAAGGAAACCACACAGTCAAAGCTAGTCAAGGACAGGACTCTGTGGGGGAAAATGCCAAGCGGGGTAGGTAACAGCACTCAGTGCAAAGCTAGAGCCCTGGAGCAGACAGCAGAGGCTCTGACATGGGGCTGGACCCTCAGAATCCCTCTTGCTGTACCAAATCCCGTTATTTCTGCTGCACGGGGTGCAGAGGAGGGCGCTGGTACTATTTTATTTTTCACTTAGGTAGCCGACTCACGCACACAGCTTGGCTGGGCCTGACTGCTGTTATTGAAAGAAAGGGAGCTTTCTCAGAACCTTCCCTTTCCCTCTTATTCCTAGCGTCTGTCTGGATCTGAGCCTCACCGTGCCATCATCCCAAGAAGCATGACAGAGGAACAGCGCTCCAGAGGAGAGCAGGGGACCTTCTCGGTCGCCCGCTCCCACAGCAGCTGGGTCACTGCCGGTTTCAATTCATCCTTCTGCACAAACTCACAGAGCTGAAGAGAAAAGAGAAAGGGCTCAGGCCAAAAAATAACAACCCCCCCCCAATCCTTGGTCTGCTTCTCTGAAGAGAACGTTGAGAGCCCGAAGTGGGTAAAAGCAATACTTAGGGATGGAAAAGGAAGAAGGAGGCTCGAAATGTAAAGTTGGGGTTTGGGGAGGTACTTGCACCTCTGTCACTTTTCTACCTTCATGCCTTCAAAACTACATTTATTAAGATGACATACTGAAGTCTGTGTGAGTCCATGGCTCTGACTACATTCCGGGGATTTCTAGTAGCTGTTGTTGCTGTGACCACAACTCAACATGTCTAAAACAGAAGACTCCATCCTTCCTTGCCTTTTCATTTTGCCCAGGGTACCAACATTCTCAATCACATATGCTTAACACTTCACAGTCAGCTAATTTCTTCCCCACTTAATCCTATCCATTTTTCCTTTATAATCTATCTTCCATTAAGTGCAACTCCACAGCTTTTCCTCCCAGCCCGAGTCTAGTCCTTTGATGCTGCACACTTCCAGAAGGTCCGTAGACCTCGTCTCTAGCGTCCTCTCCAACCAACCTGTATGCTCCTGTTGGACCAGTCTCCCAAACATCTTCTTCATCACGCCACACCTCTGCTCATCATTTAGAAATAGCTCTCCTTTGGAGCACCTGGGTGGCTCAGTCGGTTAAGTGTCCGATTCTGGCTCAGGTCATGATCCTGCAGTTCGTGAGTTCAAGACCTGCATCAGGCTGTGTCTCCCTCTCTCTCTGTCCCTCCCCCACTCACGCTCTGTCTCTCTCTCAAAAATAAATAAACAAAAAAAAGAAAAGAAACAAAACTCTCCTTTGCCTATAGTAGGGGCTCTGGACCAGGAGAGCTAGCCTGACATTTCAGCCCAGCGGCTGCCACCAGGCTCCTTTTCTCCCCAAGAGAAAAATGTGGCTGGCGGTAGTGCTCCACCTGGTGGAAGCTGGTGGTCAGCACACCTCCACCTGTCTCCACAACCCAAATACTTTTACTTCAAAAGCAGGTCCACCTCACTAAAATGTTGGCCAACAAGGTGAAAGTCCCGGACTTGTGAAAGGCATTCAGGGACCTTTACAATTCAGTTCCAACCTACACTCCCACTTTATTATCTTTTGCATATAACAGTTTCCAGCCAGAACGTGATCTTTTTCATGCCACAACTTTCTGTGCTCTTAATTGGCTTTCCATCTACATGTTCCCTCCTTTCTCTCTCTACATCCTACTCATCAAGACCCTGTTTCAGTCCTACCACCTCCAGGAAACTGTCCTTGACTGTTCTACCTCATACTGCTCTCTTGCCCACTCAGGACTCGTCAGGGTAACGTACAACGTATGAGTATGTTTTCTGGAGCTCTTATTGCCTGAGTCTCTGCCACCAACCAGCTGTGATTAGCCAAGTTCCTTAACCTCTCAGTGCCTTAAGCTTCTCACTGTAAAATGTACACTAACAGTATTACCTCACTGGGTTGTTGTGAGGTTTACACAAGTTCATATGAGCAAACTGCTAAGAACAGTCCCTAGCATGTCATTAGTGTTACCCTATCACCATTGCTGCTACAACCATTACCTGTGCCACATTTTTTTGGCACTGAATTACCTATGTGCCACATCATTCTATAACTGTTTTATGTTTTTTGGCTACCCACTATACTGTTGGTTCCTTTTAAGTTGGGAACTTGAAAACAATCTTATACTTTGTGGGGCTGAGTAAACTGATGAACATGTACATAGTAATCACTAATACTTGTTGAATGAATAAAGAAAATAGAAGTAAGGGGGCGCCTGGCTGGCTTGGTCAGAAGAGCATGTGATTTTTTTTTTTTTTTCCAACGTTTATTTATTTTTTTGGGACAGAGAGAGACACAGCATGAACGGGGGAGGGGCAGAGAGAGAGGGAGACACAGAATTGAAAACAGGCTCCAGGCTCTGAGCCATCAGCCCAGAGCCTGACGCGGGGCTCGAACTCCCGGACTGCGAGATCGTGACCTGGCTGAAGTCGGACGCTTAACCGACTGCGCCACCCAGGCGCCCCGAGCATGTGATTTTTGATCTCAGGGTCATGAGTTTGAGTCCCACATTGGCTGCAGAGATTACATAAACAAACAAACAAACAAACAAACAAACAAGAAAGAAAGAAAGAAAGAAAGAAAGAAAGGAAAGAAAAGGAAATGAAAAGAAGGGAAGGAAGAAAGGAATGAAGGAAAGAAAGTAAGGAAAGGAAAGAAAGAGACTTACAATTTCCTCAAGACACTGGATAGTCCCAACTGAGGCATCCACTAGTAGCAAAGAGAGATTCTGAATCAAAGTCTGGGCTTTGGCTCTGGGAATAGCAGAGAGCAGAGGTCATTAAAAACTGGCAAGTTAAACCTGGCAAACAGGTGATTAGGACTATCCCACCACAGTGTCAGATGACTTTACTTGAAGTCCAGCCCCGCCCTGAGCCCCATTAGATTCAGGGCTCCTCAAGAAGGATGCCCCCACCCCCTGCCATTCCTGTAGGAGACTGCAAACGTCCCCTGAGAAGCTGACCCTGTTAAAGCTGGCAGAGGCAAAAGTACCACATATACCTGACAGAGTCCCCTCTGGGGCTGAGGTAAAGCTGGCGGTAGGCATTAAGCACAGCTTCCCGGATGCCAGGCTCCTTAGACCAGATGAGAGGGAGCATGCGGCGCACCCCGAACAGGGCCTGAGGTACCCCAAATTGGAACACCATCACAAAGAATTCAATCACCTCCTGCACCACTGAGGGGAGAGACAGAAATGTCACCCATCTGCTTGGCAAAATTCCCCCAATACTTAGAGATAGAACCTTTCCTACTGTAGCAACATGCAAGTGGAAGCTTCTTCCATTTCCCCTGAGAATATCATCCTAGATGGCCCTGTCGTGAAATACCCTATGCATACCACGTCTGCTCCACAGAGCTAGACAAAGCAAACGGAAATAAAGAATCCTTGCCTTTTGAAGGAGCAGACAGTTATCAATAAAATACAGGCAAGACTGGTTTTTCCAACCCCAAGACACAGTCCTTACAGAGAGGGATGCTGGCACACCTGTAGTTGTGTTTTCATACATCATCTTGCTGATGATGCTAATGGCCTCTGTAATCTTCAGAGAGAAGCTGTAGGCGTCCTGCAGATACTGCACCAGCATCTCCTGCTTCACCAGCTCATCGCTTCCCCTGGATTTCACGGGCTCTGACACACTGGGCTTGTCTTTACTGTCTGTCTGTCCTGGGCCCATGTTCCCTGCAGAACCCTGGGCATTCTCCTGTGTGGAAGTTGCTGGGCCTAGGAATTAGAGAATTCTAGGATGGTTATTGCTCGAAGGTGTATGGGGAAATCTATCGGCTACAACATCCCCAGATAGTTCTTTCCACAATGGGAGGGTATACACTTAGAACCTACTGTAAAATGTCTTGGTTCATTTCTCAAAAAATTCCAAACATCCCCTATGGTTTGGAAATACCATTTCACACCATATGACTATCAATCTTAGGTCCATGGGCTGTATCCATTCCAGAGCACTGCCAAATCTCCTCTGGACTGCTGTGGCACAGTGCCTCCTGGCACTCCCAGGCCAGTGTCTGGCATAAAGTAAATAGCCCATCGATACTAATTGAAATGTTTTGTTTGCTAACTGAAGAGGGAAAAGAAATACCTTTGAAGATAGTCCCCAAGAGATTTAGGAACCTGGTCTCCTCTGACTCCTCTGGGTCCACATGACTGAAAGGCTCAGACTCCTGGAAGTGGCCTATGGCTTCTCGAGTGAGAATGATGGCCTGCCTGGAAGAACATCCACCGGTCACCAACTTGGCACCCACGGGAGTGTCACTGCAGCCTTCTGTAATGCAGCCTACCTCATGATTACATCGAGAACCTAGACTTACTGCCCCAAAGAAAAGGGACACTTCTCATGCTTAAAAAGTTGAGAAGTGGGGCGCCTGGGTGGCCCAGTTGGTTAAGCATCTGACTTCAGCTCAGGTCATGATCTCACGGTTCATGGGTTTGAGCCCCATGTCGGGCTCTGTGGTGAGAGCTCAGAGCCTGGAGCCTGCTTTGGATTCTGTGTCTCCCTCTCTCTCTGCCCCTCCCCTGCTAGTACTCTGTCTCACCCTCTCTCTCAAAAATAAAAACATTAAAAAAAAAAAAAAAAGTTGAGAAGCACCTATAAGGGTGGAGCTCAAAACACTTTCCCATTTTTGAAGTGACAAGGCTTTACTACATAGTCTTCAAAGAAACTCAAATAAGACTTTTCAAATTTAAAGGTCACAAACCTACTCCAAACATCTACTTAAAAACTTTGCTAAGTCAAAGTTTAGAAAAAGTAAGTGTTCAATAACTGATTAATTTATGGGACATCCATACAATGGGAGTCAATGTTAGCGTAAAAAAGAATGAGGCAGCTATTCATGTATAAATATTAAAAACATTGCAGTATGTTGTTAAGTGAAAAAAAGCAAGGTGGTAGATCAGTGGGTAGAAAATTCTACCATTTGTGTAAGAAGGGAAGGAAAAGAACATATGTTACACTATACGTCTTTGTTATCTCTAGAAGGGTGTGCGATAAACTCGGAATGTTGCTTCCTTGTAGTAAATAAATCTAAGTAGCTAGGAAATAGGTTTGGAAGGGACTTTACAATGCATGTCCTTGTTATAATTTAAAATTTTGTACCGTGTAAATGTACTAATTTAAAAAAAAAAAGATTTTTAAGTAATTTCTACACCCAATGCGGGTCTTGAACTCACAACCCTGGGTTTAAGAGTCGCATGCAATACTGACTGAGCCAGCCAGGCTCATATTTTAATGTAATTTTCTGTTCTAAAAAATACTATTATTAAACTGTTAAAAAGTTTTTTTTTTTTTTTTTTAATTTTTTTTTCAACGTTTATTTATTTTTGGGACAGAGAGAGACAGAGCATGAACGGGGGAGGGGCAGAGAGAGAGGGAGACACAGAATCGGAAACAGGCTCCAGGCTCCGAGCCATCAGCCCAGAGCCTGACGCGGGGCTCGAACTCACAGACCGCGAGATCGTGACCTGGCTGAAGTCGGACGCTTAACCGACTGCGCCACCCAGGCGCCCCAAAAAGTTTTTAAAAAAAGTTTTGTTCTAACACACATTTAACTGGCATCAAATACCTCACTTATTAAGACCATAACCCAGCACTGACTGCTGAGGTTTTCTGAAGGAGGAGGGGACATCTTTAACATGAGAAGAAATCTTTATTTTAACTGACAGGAGAAAATACTAATATGGTTGGAGGCAGAAGCAGCAGTTATAAAATTACAGTACCTTTTTACACCTTAGCAAAGTAAATAAAGACACCAGAGAGACATAAGGGAGAGCAAACTAGCCACCTTCCATTCAGTCTTTTCTGAACAGCCTAATTAGGTAGGAAATAAATCAGTAACTTGTGGCTGAGGTTTAAGGAGACCTGCTGATAGCTAGAAGGGCTTTTGTTGCTAGCTGCCCTGAAGTTCTAGAGTCATAAAAACACTGGGAGAAATCTGTTCTCCAAGGTCAGGATTAACAATGAGGCTGATTTCAAGATTAAAGTAGGATTAATGGAGTTTAATATTATTTATTAGCTCACAGGATTTAGTAGAAAGAAATTAGAGACCACATGATCTAGTCAATTGCTTTTTTTAAAGGCTTTTTTTTAAAGGTTTTTTTGTTTGTTTCTTTTTTTTCAACGTTTATTTACTTTTTTTTTTTTTTTTTTTGAAAGAGAGACAAAGCATGAAAGGGGGAGGGGCAGAGAGAGAGGGAGACA